TGATGTCATTCTTACAATATTTCTGCCAAAATGACTATTTTCTTCCACTGTACATAGACATTTTTTTACTTTAAGGTAAACATAAACAATTCCTTCAGAATTCAAATTTTTTAGACCATAAAAAAGGTTTCTGTGTTTTATATTATATCTCTAGATATATGCATTATTCTCTTACAGGATTATTGTGCCTTGTCAATACCACCAACCACATAAATGTCAGCCAATTAAAAATAGAGCATTCCAAACATTTTTTGTTTTTAAAACATAAAATGTATAAAATTTGCAACACAAAATGTTATTATTTCAGTCAGGGTATATTCATCTAGGTGAAACAAGCCAATTTATTCAGAAAAAAATATATAACACAACCCTAAAAGGACGAAAGGCGTCAACAGAATTTGATATCTTACTGGTGGTTGTTTTGTTGTACAATTTTAACGTTTTAATAAACAAGGTCAGACATACATGTATTTGTACTACTTTATTATGCACCTCTACAAGTATTTAAAATTTACTGCTTCTTCAAGCGTGATGATATAAATAACTTTAAACAAGGTACTAGTCATAATACAAGTCAGAAATTATAAATAGTTTCTTATGTAAACAACTTACATGTGGGAACATACTTCTCTATGCAGTATGGGACTAAAAATGAATGCGAAAATAAGTTTTAAATATAAACCTTGCTTTGGTAGGGAGGACATGGGTAAAGGATATGATGGTTATTAACAAGACAGCATTCACAAGTCCTACTGAAATATTATTCAAAGGAATAGCACCCATTGCTGTTATTCATTTTGTCCCTACTCTGTTACATCTTCATGTGCATGTGCTGGAACAAACCCTTGAGGTCATTAAAATTTCCTGTACGATTATCATACTCAAGACTAAAAAATCAACCAACCAAAAAACTGGATTTTATATTTCCAGCGCAAATGCTGTACTCCCAGTACCAAGTAAAGTTTTATAACCAAAAGGCCTGGTCTGTGGATGTCTCTTGTTACATGTGTATTCTCATAGGCTTTTATTGTTAGTTGAGGGATTTTACAAGTGTTGATGGCTAATTTTTGCTGCCTAATTGACATCTATACCTTTTATCTCTTTATATGAATATAATATTGTGTGAAGATTATTCCTTAAAACTTACTTCTGTCAAATTCCTGAAAAACATGTCTATAAATGTCAACTCCATTAATATTTTATTTGTTCATCAAGCATGACTTTTTTGTTCTATTTAACCTCTCCCCGTTTTACTAGAATCCAAGATTTTCATATTTTTTGCCAACCTTGCATAATATTAACTTCCTCAAGTAACAATGTGATATTGTTAAATTAAATCTGAAATTTTTAGCCGGTCATTCTGCTCTAATCATTAACAATGTAGACGAGAGAGATATTTCCGTGTGAACAGGATTTTAAAACTTACCACATCTCTTATGTACTTAGTTTTCAGTAAGATACAACTATTAACATGATTAAGAAATTAAAAGTAAGAAATTATAAATAATCTGGTGGACAATAGCCATCTTGACATGTAAAAGGACATGGTATATATAGTAAGGCCACTTTTAAGGTCCCCTGAATTTCAAGAAAAAAAAGAAGATAAATCAGCCTTAAAAGTTGAAATAAACAAAAATAGATCTATCAATCCTTTCTCTGTTCTGTAACTAAAAGAAAAAATCCTGAAAATGTAAAGAACACAACTTTCAAAAGATCAAGCTTACTAACATGCCTTGTTTAATCTCTTAACAATTCTGATGGCATATAAAATTTAAATTTGCACAAATTTACTGCATGTTTAGCGCACGTTTTGACATTCCTTGTACAAATACAAGATAAAATGTCAATGTACTTATTTGAACCCTGTCTCACTCCTTGCAAGTGAAATTTTGTACAGATTATGTCTATTCAAGTATAACAGATACTGGTTAAGAAAAGTGTAGTAAGTTTGATTAAATATCAGACCTTGTTTACCTTGATCATTATATAATATGAAGTTAAGCAACTTTTACATTTAACACCTAGCAGTAAAAAATTACATTTATAAATAAAAGAATTATGCAGTATATTGAATTTATTCAATTTTATCTTTTCAGGCAAAACAAAAACATTTACATGTATAACTATTACTCATATTTTTACAAATAATCTAATAAATAATCAAACAGTATCAAATTTTCAAGGCTGACTCATGCTGCTATCAAAAATAACTATTCAAACTGTACTTTAAGGATGAGTGTTATTTATAGGGTATTTACTACTGTTCAGTCTACATTTTCTGGACTGTTCCCACTAAATTTCATCAGATGTACCTTAACATTAATACTAGGATTAAGTCTCATTTCAATTAATAGTTGAAAACATAGTCCAGACCATGTCCAGACCATGTCCGGACTAATTCAAGTTTTAAGGGGCTGAGTTTTCTTCAAATCATGGTTTTGATGTTACCAGTAAATGTAGCAGGCCCAGGTCTGATAGAATATTTTGCACAAAATGAAGATTCAGCACAAATCTCAAGTTTCCATCATACAAAAACATTGTGTGGGCATAAAACTTGATCCTTGAATAACTGAACCTTTCAAATAACCTCTAACCCTTATACTGTCATATACCTGTAAAGTTCATTCCCCCTAATTACTTCAGAATTTTCTTAATTTCTATCCATAATTTGCAGAAAGGAACATTAATAATTTGTCTTCTAAACTTTTTTTTTCGTTGGAGAAGTTAATCCTCTAAAAAGTAAAGTAGTGAAGGTGTTAATAACCTTGTTTACTTTATAGCAAGTCTACATTCCATAAAACCATTTATCCATAAGCAATTATTCACAAGTATCATATACATTTCATATCTTACAATAATAGGTGTATCAAATAAGACAGGTATATGTTACCTACCAACACCTAATTACTATAGATATGTCACAAGATGGGAATGACCTGAACCATCAAAATTATCAATGGGAAGACTGACCAATGTCACTCAAGTACAAGCTCTCTGTAAAGAATCAAACAGAATATGCTTTGTATAAATGCAGTTCTGAAAAATCATATTTTATTACAAATGTATTATTCTTATTCTATTCTATTTTGCAAGGGTAAAAAGGGGAGGTTGTGTCAGAGGTGTAATAGATCTTAAAAGGTTACACATTAATTTGGTCAAATTGCAAAGACTCCTGTATTCATTTTGACAAAGGTAGACATATTTCAATGATTATATGATAGATTTGAAATTTAAGGAAAAGCACTGAACACAAACTGAAATTATCATTCTTACAGCCTTGCACAGTACTCTATAGACCAATTTTGAGTTCTTTTTTTTATGAATGAGATACCTCAGGTCAACCTGCATTACTGACTTCATTGAACAATTCACTCTACCTGTGTGTAATAACATAAGCATTGTGACATTGGTACTGTACAAGAAAATGCATAATTAATGTGAAAGTCGTCTAATAAAACTGTCTATGTAAGCAAATTGAATGAATTCTGATCACCACTGTAGATGTCCACTTATAACAAGTCAGAAGCCAATGTTGTAAAAAAAAATCTGAAATAGCTTAGTCTGTATTGCTGAGTAATATAACAGGTTAATGTAGGTGGCTGATAGCTTAACTGGATTCTTCTGTTACTTTGATGATCCTCAAGGCATAATTTACAGCATAAAATAAAATTGAGAATGGAAATGGGGAATATGTCAAAGAGACAACAACCCAACCAAAGAGCAGACAACAACCGAAGGCCACCAATGGGTCTTCAACGCAGCGAGAAATTCCCGCACCCAGGGGTGGTCCTCAGCCGGCCCCTAAATAAAATTGTGTACTAGCTCAGTGAAAATGGATGTCACAATAAACTCCAAAACATATAAATGAACTAAAATTAAAAAAAACATGCATTTATATTCTCGCTTGAATCAAATGCAGACTTTAAATTTTACTCAGTTTTCGTCTTTTAGTTTATTGACTGTTTAGCGGAAATTGATGTAGACAAACAGAATAAGATACAAGAATTTATTGGGTTAAATATGGTATAAAATGTATAATCCTACGCAAAACTTGAACAATTTCATATCACTTGACATTTTATACAGGAAATCTAATCAATTCATCATTACTGAGACAAGATAAATTGTTCAATTTAAGGTGAAGTCAAGCTTGATTGATAAAAAACGTTCCTTACAAAGATTACTTAATTTGTTAAAAGTTTGATATCAATGCTGAAAGGGTGCTTTGTAAAATACCAGGTGTGCATTTACACTTATATGTGTAAGGCTGCACACTATATCTTTTTACACAATACTGAACTCAAGGCACTGGTGAAAGCTGATTACAAAAAAGTTAAAAGTTGTCAGTTTGATTAAAAATTGTATGTGTCTTTTGTGTAGGTTTCGTAATTTAACCTAAGGAGAAAGAGGTGCATTGAGTGATTTAAGATGTGCATTTCTAACAGAAGTTACAATGCAAGTATAATTTCGTCCACAATCTCCTAAATGTAGCCCATATAATATTATAGGTTCTTATTGTATATCTATAAAATGAAAATGAACAAGTCTGGATTCATAATGTGATAAAAGCTTATTGTGCAAGAATATTATGATTACAAATACATGTATATTGGTGAAATCCATTATAAAATCTAAAGTACATTCTGTTGCTTTCTTGATGGTAACATTATACACAAATTTACTTATTTATACATTAGAAATTAACCATCATCAATTACCGAACATTTAAACCTGAAAGGAAAATACATATGAAAATTTGGCAATAATAGTGGGTTTTTTAAACAGTGAGTTGAGCAATATCCTCCTTCAAGATCAATAACGCACTTTTTTCAAAAAAAATTTCTTTAATCCCCTAACCCAATTAGCTGTAATATCCACTACTGGGTTCAGAAATACTTGTAATGTTTATTCTACATTGTAAAAGTAAAATAGAAGTCTCCATTAATCAAAGCTATTGTTACTTTAATTTGTAAATGTTTTATGGAATGTTTTTGTCTTACCTTCTTTACTAGGCAGTGGATTTTTCTCGTCAGTCTTCACATGGTGCATTGATTCTGTTGAGGCCTTGGAAATAGCTCCTAACAATTTAGGGTCAGCACTTGGGAGGTCTACTTTAGTTGCCATGACTAGTTAATTTCTGAAAAATAAAAATAAGATTTTAGTTATAATATGATGAAAAGAAGATTTTATATGGATATCATTCATAAGTTGTGGTTTCTGATGTACAGGGTCTAAAACAAGATTACAAACAATATCAATTCATACAATTATAAAGGGCCATAACTCTTGACGTGAACAATAGTTACTACTTAGTTCATAGCTGATAAATGGCCAGAACTCTTGACGTTAACAATAGTTACTACTTAGTTTATAGCTGATAAATGGACATAAGTTTTGACGTGAACAATAGTTACTACTTAGTTCATAGCTGATAAAGGGCCATAACTCGTGACGTGAACAATAGTTACTACTTAGTTCCTCCCTTAGTTTATAGCTGAATAGGTACATAAAAAGAAGGAAGAAAAAGATCAGCTTTCAGTAATTCTGAATCGACAATGTTGGCGAAGTTTCTGAATTATTGCTTTATGGAAAAAGGTTACTACTGTACAAATACAAATGTTCAAATCTTTAGTTCAGTTATTGAACTACAGTGAACTACCAACAAATCTGGACCTTGGCAGGTAAGTCCATGGACTTGCAAAAAGGAAAGACATTCATCTACATTTCCCATGTGAATTGAATAAATATTAAAAAGATAGTCTTCAAGACAACAGCTATAAGAATGTCACAAAATTGTGTGTTACTTCTTATATAAAAGAATATTTTTAGGAGAAACCAAATCAATTCAAATAGCAGTTGAATGTTTATTCCAAATGAATAAAGAAGAAAGAATAAAAAAGATTCTGTGATGTGAAGATCCTGGATGTTATCACATATTTTTACCTGAGAAATGTTACAACATTGAATTCTTTCTTTTTAGTTAATCACGAAAACAATTTATCAACAGTTATTTCATTGGAATAACACATTACAAGTTTTATTTTATAAAATGTCATGTAACAAGACACTATAACCTATGACATAAAAAAACTCCTTCATTAAATTAAAATGCTATATATATATTAAATACAGGAAAACAATTACTGCACATGATGTACTTAGAACAAAAATAAGTTAGCCAAAATATACTTACCACTTTATTTTTATACTAACAATCGATTAACACTATGAATAAGAACAAGTAAGATTTCCTCCTAGTAAATATTTCCAAATGATCTTTTGTCGTAGCTATTTCCTAAAACCTCGTCAACAGGAAATAACTCACTCTAGAAAAGGTAATATCAATACTGAGAGGTACAGGTAGGGTGATAATGAAATAAAACCATCTTCTGACAGATTGCACAAGTTTTTACGTAGGAGAATTACAGGTAAATAAACAAGGTATTTTAAATCGAAAGGGTAAATATTTATTTTCAGGTCATAAACATTATAACAGATAAAAGTTCAAGTATTTAATATTCAAATCTGACCTATTGTCTATTCCCCCCAAATGACCCTTTTACAATACATGTACCCAAGCATCTTTCAAGTAATCTGTATCCTATTTGACCAGGATATCAAAATAAGGGCTTATGTTAAACCACTGATACCTATTATATCATTAAAGTACCCCCAGAAGTTAAATATCAGTTAAGTATTTTTATCAAGCAGAATCCCAAAAATAATTTTTCCTACATGTACATGCAAACTTGCATGTATCTCAGTATTAATGCAACAGGGGAAAAAAACTATATTGTTTATCATGTTTATTGTGAAACTGTGGTTTATTTTAAGAAGGTACAGAATATATTTTATACATGAATGAGGAATGCTCCACAAACCAACTCTTACTAATAAGAAACTTTCTGTAAACTTATTAATAAATGACAATAGACATCAGAAAAAATACACATGACCAATGGGATCCAAAGAGAAGACAAGTCTTATATTGATAAATTTGTACCCATGGGACACTTATACTTTAAGTCAATCCAGTTGTATTCAAATTTGGTTTAAGAAATTTTATCAAAATGGAGAATATTTGAACAGCATTCTTTTCTGATATCATTGCTTTTCATATCAGCTAAATGAAATAAAACTGGAATTGAAATAAATCAACATCGTCAGATTTGTGAATAAGGACATTGGGAAAGATTTTTTTTTTACAAGTATTGTTAAGTTGTGTCATGAGATTTGTAAATAAGGACATTGGGAAAGATTTTTTTATTTTTACAAGTACATGTATTGTTAAGTTTTGTCATGACATTCACCTTAGGTACTTACATTGATTTTAATATTAATAATTTTAAACATTACTAAATATGTATTGTGATACAGTTATAAACACTTAGGGCTCTACATCCTGTCAATATATTGGCATTGCACAAGGTTATGCTTTTCTCAGGCTGTTTATGATATCTTTTGGTCATTTTTCGTTTTTTACCATGGCTTTGTTAGTTTATCTTCGACTTTGAATATCCCTTTTGTATCTTCTGTCTGTCTTTTACACTTAACACTTTCAGTAACTGTGCTTAGGTAGATACTTTTTGTTGTTTTTTTTCGGTTTTCATGCTCTATACCAATCTTATATAATCATTAGTCAAGCAGTTTCCAACTGATTTTTAGTTTGTTCTTCTTTTGTGCTCTTGTATCTCTATCCCAGGTTATGGGAGGATTGATGAGCACTTACAAACATGTTTAATCCCACCTTAATATTAATGTGCCTGTCATAAGTCAAGAGCCTTTAATCCAGTGGTTGTTGTTGGTTGTTGTCTGCCATATTTTTTTCAACAATAACCAGGCTGTTAGTTTTCTCTTTTGAATTGTTTCACATTTGGCATGCCAGGGCCTTTTATAGCTTACTATAATATAAGGTGGGGTTTGCTCATTGTTTAAAACCACCAAATAACCTGTAGTTGTTTAAATCCAAATCATTTGGTCTCTGGTTTATACTTGATCAATCAGACCACAACTCCTTATATCTATAATGATGATGAATTAAGCGAGGAATAGTTCAAATTAGGGAGGTCTTTTAAGGTACATGCATTTTCCCACAAGATTTTATGCACAATTATTTAACATTAAATGATTATCATGCAATAATAGAATTTCTTAAATAATTTGTATCCAAATTTTATTTATATAGAACATAATTGCCGTCAAATTTAAAGAGTTGCCATCTTGGTTTGCAGTTGTATCATTCTTCAGGGGTTAAAATTAGTGTGGGTCCAAGTCCTGTCTTTTCTAGGAGGGGACTTTTCATTTTAAAATTACAAAAGTCAAGGCCTTACCATTCTTTACACTGATGCTTTATACACGACCTTTGAATTTCTTATGGAGGATCTTTCACTTAAAATTTCAAATGGTCCTGGATCTTTTATTATTTTAAGCAAATTTGAATACCTGGAGAATAGTGAGTTAACAGCATGCATGGACAAATAGTCAACAAAACTGATTCCAAAGATCTGCATTTGTATTTTACCTTACATGTATGTTCTATACATAACTAGAGACTCAAAGTAGCATCTCACTTTGAATGTATGATACTGACTTAAAAAGTAAAATCACAAAAATACTGAACTCCGAGGAAAATTCAAAAAGTAAGGTCCCCAATCAAATGGCAAAATGAAACAAGAGGCTCTCAAGAGCCTGAATCGCTCCCCTAATTTCAGAGGATAAGATTTTTAAATGTTAGCAAACTTGAATAAATTGTGTAAAATTGTCTTTAAAGGGCAATAACTCCTTAAGGGGTCAATTGACAATTTTGGTCATATTAACTTTTTTGTAGATCTTACTTTGCTGAACATTATTGCTGCTTACAGTTTATATATATCTATAATAATATTCAAAATAATAACAAAAAACTGCAAAATTTTGTTAAAACTACCAATTCAGTGGCAGCAACCCAACAATGGGTTGTTCGATTCATCTGAAAATTTCAGAGCTGATAGATCTTGACCAATTGAACAATTTTACCCCATGTCAGATTTGCTCTAAAAGCTTTAGTTTTTGAGATATAAGCCAAAAACTGCATTTGACCCCTATGTTCTATTTTTAGCCATGGCGGCCATGTTTGTCGATGGATCAAAACTTCGGATTCAATTTATAAACTAGATACGTTAAGGAACATTTAGTTAAAGTTTGAAGGTATTTGGCCCAGTAGTTTCAGAGAAGATTTTTTAAATAGTTTATGACGACAGACGACGACGGACGCCAAGTGATGGCATAAGCTTACATGGGGACCTTTGGGCCCCGGTGAGCTAAAAAACAAACACATCAAACAAATGGATAACAACTGTCATATTCCTGAATTGGTACAGGCATTTTCTTATGTAGAAAATGGTGGACTGAACCTGGTTTTGTACTTGCTAATTAAGAATCATGACAATTTGAAAAGTCTATATGTGTCATCTGAAATATTTGTTAAAAGTAACCACCAATTGACTTTTTTGCCTCAATTTTCTCAAAAAATGATATGTAATTGCATAGAAAAGGTCAAAATTGATGTTTTACCATTATGTTCAGCAGCGGGTCAGAAATATTGTTTTGCACCAGGTCACCTAGGTACCCCTCAAAGATTTACTGCAGATTCTTTTCAAGCAGAGACTGGAAATCTCTTAAATTAACACCATACAAATCCAAATTGAGTAACAGACAGATGGAATATATGTCCACACTAGTGTACTCTGATCTAGGATTTGAATCCTGAAATTTTTGTACGTGTTTCATGCCAATCTGATTTAAAAGGGCACCACACCTGAATATTTCTAGTTTCCAGTAGATCCAAAGAAAAAAATTTATTTCTAAGAGCTAATAGAAATGATTACAGGAACAGAGCAGGGATGAAAGAGGTCAAGCAATTTTAAAAGCTCATATTGGCCAGGTGAGTTAAACTAAAAAAAAAATTGCCAAATTTGGGCTCTTATCTTAGAGAAACTGAAAAGTGTGATGAAATGAAATAAAAATATTTCCTATTTTGCTTTTGTTTAGTAGAAAGTAGTTTTCATAACTTCCTTATTTTTCTTTTTTTTTTATGAACAGATCATTTTTTATTGAACTCTTGTGTATCAAATAGAAAATGCTTCAATCTTACAATATAAAATCAAAATTTCATGTTTCACTACAATAAACTATCACAACATTATTAGAAATAGTTATACCACTTGCTAAAAATAGAAATAAGTTAAAATACATACATGCTCTAATATATTACCCCAGAAAAATCTACATACATTCAACAATAACTCCAACAGATAAAGTTTGTGTGACAGATGTTGTCCTTTTGTGTATATAATTGTGTATAAGAGTGGCGTGACTAATACTACACTGTCACTTCCTAAATTGGTTTGATGAACAATGTACAAACATGGACAAATGACATTTTGATGGGGGAAGTTATCAACTAAATAAAGACTCTCATTGTAAAAGGTCATAAAAGTTACCAATAATAGCTATATTAAATAGAATTACTAGCATTCATTAATCTTACATATATCTCAATCAGAAGTAGTATAAGTTTTATCACTTTATTATATATCTATCTAAACTGATAAAAAATAGCTATCCAAATGATCTACATGATATATAAAATGTATCTCCCGAAAACTAACACAGGCAAACCTGGAGATAAAAAAAAGGTACCAAAATATAAATCCTTTCCCTAAAATATCTGAAATGATTTGTATATGAATCCGAATTACATGCAATTAAATAACAATTCATATAAGTCAACATAAGCTTGCATGTACACACACTCGCATTGATTCTAAAACAATGTGGAGAGACAAGGTAGCATTAGGTTAGGCTGACCTCTATCCTATTGCAGTCTTGTAGACACATGTTTATATGTATAATTCAAATTTATAGTAACTCTATACTGCAAAATAAAATGGACACATTGATTGCAAGTCTTTAACCCGGTGTCAAACATCCACACTTTTATTATTTAAGATCCTAACAGAGATGTGATAAACAGATCCTGGGTTTACCTAGCCACACTTTAATTGGCAAAATCTTTGTCTATCTCCTTTTTTTTATTTTATTTTTTTTGGGGGAAGGGGATTAAAATCGATATTGAATTTACAATAAGTCAACAGATAAAATATATCTAATATCCAACTTGCCAATTGCAACATCAGGACTATCTTTGCAGCTCATACATGTCTTTTCAGACTCAAAGTACTGAAGTACTGAACATCGGATGACTGCAAGTTCTTGTGGATGGTCACAAGCACTTGTCTCAGAAAAAAAAATCACATCTCTATACCTGACAGCCAGGTTAATCAGAACATATATATTAACGGGACTTGACACTACCTAATTAGATATACTGTTCTCAGGGTTAATGTACAGAT